ATATAGAGGTCATGAAACCCAATAGCGCTCCAGAGTGTTCAAGGGATTTATAGCTCAAGAATGCTTACATGAAGGAGGACATAGATCATTCCTTAGGTGATGACATGGACACATGCGGAGCTTAACGTGACATATGTAAAGCCACTCCGAAAACCACCATGACATATGAGTCATTGGAATATGAACACTTGGACCTTGAGAAAGATAGGAGCACATTCCAAGAACCCAAAAGGAGCATTTGAAACCAATTCCCATGCTGTTGAAGGCCCAACACAATTATATGTGCATGAAGGAGTCCATTGGAGCTATAATCTTTCATATTGGAGCCCAACTACATTGTGTTATGGACCATGGGAGTTCAGAACGCGGTTCAACCATATTCAAGCCTAAATAGATGTCTTAAAAGCCTATACATGCTTATGGATATGAATAACATTTATGAAGATTTATTTGGAAGGTCCAAGAAGATTCAAAAAGCATCAAGAGTGGTCTCATATCACATTGATGAGGATTCTATTGGTTTTAACAAGTTTCCTATTCTATAGTTTCCTATTTTGTATTGATTGCTTTTTGAAGGCAAAGACTTACTTATTTTGTATCACATTAAATAGTAGAAAGTCAAATAAGATCCTTCTTATTAATGAAAGGATCCCACTAAGTAGTGTGTGATCTAGATTATTTTATCTTGACTAACAATATAGAGTATTCTGGAAGGTCTTTTAATTTTCTTAATTTTGTTGTATTTTCATATCTATTTTTGATGCACTTTATTTAGTTATTGTTTTAAGCTCTAATAGCTTATAATACGTTTTTAGGGCTTATATTACTAATTGGGGTTTTGATATTAGGGTTTTCAAGAGTTTTAGTTTATAGATAATTCATGTGTACTCTTTTCAAAAAGAAGGGATGATTTGAATTATTAATAATATGAGAATTTTATTTCTCATGAGAATACCCGACAGTATCAAGGAATTGATCAACCTTATCCTGTCTTCATGGCTAGAATTGTAAGAGACATGTTCTCTTAAAGTCCTACATCGATCATCCGTTCAGTCCCCTCATATCAAGCCCGGATACCCAAAGAAAATCATATGAGAACTTCAACAATGCACTTTATACAAAAAAAAAAAAGGAAAAAAAAAATACACCGGTAGGAAGAAATATAAAAAATATTGCAAAGAGAACAAGACTATACCTTATCAGTATTTGCTTTCTCTTTCTCAGCCTTTTCCTTTTCAGCCTTTTCCCTCTGTTTCTCCAATCTTTCCCTCTCCCATTTCTGCAGCCAAAAAAAAAAAAAATCAAACAAACAACATAAAAGAGATAGATATTTATGGTAAGTCAGTTATGTTATAGCAGTGTATCGAAATGATCAAGGGCAATATTTGATACACTAACTGAATAGAAATCGTTCAGCCATCTCCATATTTTCATTAACCTTTTACAGCAAAAACAATAAAAAAAACTACATATAACATGTAAACACACACTCGCAAGAAGAACGGCTATCAGAATCTAATCCCATCATATGTTTACAATCTAAAAAGAGCCCATAGTTATGATCAAACTCAGTTAGCTGCATATTAATATCGCAACGTCTTAAATTAACAAACAGGCTAACCTCGTTATACTGCTTTCATTTGGCATAGAGAATCAACCTTTTTTTATCGCAAAGCAAACAAGACCATCAAAACTTATCTTCCGCTTCTCAACATCCAAACAGGTGAAAGTCAAAGTAGTGGACAAAATAAAAAGCACCTGGATGTAGACGTTCTCTTTGGCCTGTTCTTCATCACTGAGAATCCGGCCTTTGTCGCTGAAGTAGCGAGTGAATGCGCCCCGACTTGACTCCATCGAACGCGTAACCGATCCTCGATTCAGCACAGATCTCATTGCCATCATCGTCAATAACGTTCCCTGTTCTGTGTTTGCCGGTTGCTTGCTCTCTCGAAGGTTTCGCAGGAAAATGATTCTGTGGGCTACTGAGTCAAACGCCCTAGAAAGTTTCGGTGACCGGTCCGGTCTATGAGCATGGAGCAGATCGGTCTAGGCCGTATGATTCGGTCCAGTACCATGACATGGCAATTGCGGATAAAGCAGACCAGCGGCTTGGTTATGAGTCAGCGCGTGAAGGCGTGGTTAAGTGTCTGGCATCACTTATTTTGAGCTTATAAGTAGCTTATAAGCTCTATAAGCTCGATTGACACAATGGGTCTGTTTGGATCAGTTTTTCTGCAATCGGGCTTTTGCCTGAAAAGCTACAATAAGATATAAGCTAAAATTAACAGCTTATGGCTTATAGCTTATGGCTTATAGCTTTTGAAATATGGAGAGAGAGAAAGTTAAGAAATTTATTACCTCTTTTAGTTCTTATTATAAGCCTCAAATAATTAATTTGTAGATAATAAAAAATCAGTTAAAATTAGTTGAAAGTAATGAATAAGTTAGAAATATATTTTTATTTTTAAATATGCTCCTAAAAATATACTTTTATTTTTTCATGTTTCATTTTATATTTAAAATATTTTTTATGACTTCTTCATATTAAATTATTTTAATTTCATTGTATTATGTGAAATTATTTTTTTAATCATGTTTCATTATTTATTAAAACTCATATCTATTTTGGTCATTTTACAACCAAACTTACTTTTACTCAATCACAATCCAAACAACCTTTTACCAATCTTACTTTTGTAATCTAGCTTTTCTGAACTCTAATCCAAATACAATTCAGCTTATCCAATTTAGCTTTTATCCAATTTCACTTCTCTATAAGCTACTTTTTCAATAAGCTACTTTTCCAATCGCTGATCCAAACGGACCCTAAAGCGATGCGATCTAAAATAGCCAGCGTCTTGCCAGTCCAAGCCTCCTAAATTTTTTTAAAATAAAAAACTATTATTATTAATATAGGTTGGGTTTAGTTTGAAATGTTGAAATTGAATTTGAAGTCTTAAACTTAGGCAGTGAATTGTAATAAAATAATATGAGTATTAATTTATAATTTAAGAACATATTTTAAAAAAATTAACACATATTATTTATAAATAATTAATTTAACTAGTTTATTTATTCAAATTAATTAAGTAGATCTTTGATGTATGTGTACATATATAAGTATCACATGTTTATTTAATATTATAAAGGCCTGTATAGTAATGTAACAAATAGACAAAAATAAAACATGGATGATGCTCTTTATATAACTATATATAGAGTGCTTAATTATATATATGTAGTGATATGAATGGGGCAATATACATCTGGAACTTGAGAAACAAAATTCTCCATGTTATATAATATGTTGAGAATTATATGAAAAATTATATGAAAAATTAAAAAAGAAAGAAACGAAGGGGAAAAAAAAAGTGGATAAGTTCATCAACTCGTGAGCTAACTTGTAGTGGAGCGGGCCTAAAATGATACAGGCTGGAATAGGTCATACCTTGGAGGGTTAGCGTTTTTGACAGATTGCCGACTTTGCATGGCATCATCTATTCTATTTATAATACATTATTGTGCCTTTTTTTTTTTTAACAAGCAAACGAAAAATGACATACATAGTAATAACATGGTTCTTACAAGTTACAAATGCTTAACAATCCGATCTTAGTAGAAGTAAAATTAAGGAAACAAGATTTGAAAATAACATCAATATTAGACATTGAAAAATTATGGATGAAGGCCAAATGACGTTGAGGAGAGGAGATGCATTGGCAGGAATGTGAATAAGTTTCTTTTCGATACAGTAGACTTGCACAGATAGCTTGTGAATAGTAATTCTCAAATTGGAGTTATAGATTCATAGAAGAAAGGCTAGCAAGCATTTTGCATCCAATGCCTTGCAATACCTTGGTTTGGCCATACAATTTTTTTGAGGGGCATCCCCTGGTAGCATATGATACTATGATAATAATATCTTCTCAATTTTTTGTATTTATAGAACAGGACATCCCGGCCATCATTGTTTTTTTAAACTAAGAATTTTTTTATACAAATAAAAATTTAAATGAATTGGATCCCAAGAACTTATTAGGGCCAAGACATGTTTTCAGGCTCAAAGAATGCTTATAAAGATACTTATGGATCGCCAATTAATAAGATTTTCATATCAACAACAAAATTTAATTTTATAACTTTGTAAATTATGAGTTGACTCCTTATTAATTGATCCAACTATTGTATATAGCACTGTTGTCAAACTCGCAAGTTGACTCTCCGAGTTTGACGTTTTTACGTTTTCAGCTAACAAAATCGTGTCGACTTCATTTTTAAACTCGTGATAACTGTAAACTCGGTTAAACTTACGAGTTCATTTACTGAGTTTACCATTTTTACGTTTTTAGCTTATAAAATCGTGTCAACTTTATCCCTATTTAATATATATACCGTTCAAGAAATAAACTTTATCTCTAAATTTTTGAATTTGATTATATTTAGTGACTTTATATATGATTTTTATGAAAATTTCTTTGTTGAATATGATATATTATGAACATTGATAGATATAATTTTAATTATTTAAATTTAAAATATATTTAAATAAAAATTTTCTCATTTTTTATATATTAATTATTTGATTATATACTTTTAATATCAATTTATTAATAAAATAAACTCTTACGAGTTCATGATTTGAATTTATGATTTGAGTTTATATTATTATCACTACGAGTTTGTTTAAACTCACGAGTTTGACAATTTTAGTATATAGAATTGTTCAATCGACGCATAATTAATGTCTTCCTAATGATTGGCTCAATCGTTGGAAACAGGTCTCCCAGGCCCATTCATAACCAAATGCCCCAAGGCCCAGAAACACGTCAACCAACCAAATGGGCAAAATAGTAACACTATAAAACCGACGGATTAGGCTAAGATGGGTATTTGGGTAGGGGATCCACTGCCGACCCGGACCTAGATCCATTTCCATTTGCGTCCCTTGCCCAACCCAAAATGTCGCCGCCACGCTCCCTTTTTTCGGTTTTTGGATGCTATGGAAATATTACCGCCACAGTCTAATTCCATTACCATCCTCCTCCTTTTTCATGATCGAAGAATTTTGAACAAACAATTTCTCGACTCCCACCCGAAGCTTCTAGGTCCCTCTGCCTCTCTCCCTATCTGATCCGAGTTTGGAGTCCAATGGTTCATTCCTGTTCTTCATCCTCTTCTATATATCTCTTTATATCTTTTCTGATTCTTGTATTTCACTTTTTGTTGTCATTTACTCATTCACCGGTGATTCATGGTGGGTTTTTGGGCGACGCATGAATTCTTCATTTTTATTCTCTGTACTTTATATTTCTCTTTCGTTTCATTCGGCCTGTTTCTTTTTGTAACTATTTCCTTTAAAATATTTTTCGTTTGAGTATAAGTTGGGTTTTTTTTTTTTTTAATTAAAGGAACGCTAAGTTCTGAATTTTATTTTTTGCAATTATGATGACGCCTCATTGGGAACTCTTTACTGTTTACATGGATTCACCTTCTGTAATCTACCCGTCTTGTTGTCTTATTTCTTTTTGTATTTCTGTATTAGTTCACCTGCTATAAAATTTCCCTTGAAATTTAAAGATGCTAAACATAATATTGTGAATCTTGAATTTTGTAGGATGCCACAAAGTCAAATATAGCTGTCCTGGCATGTACCGATGATGCTGTCCTTCCTGTCAGTACTGTCTTTGAGTCGATGGGAGAAATTGGAAATGGAGGGGTTGAGCATTGTGATCCTCTAGTCCTCACATGTGCATCGTCTCTAAGTAATGTTCTGAATTTGATTGCATATTTGTTATGCTTGCAGTTACTTTGCTTTATAAGTGCAACTTAGTCTTCTAACAGACATGCAATGAGCGTGGAGGAGAGCTTTATCATCATGTTTATCAGGCCAAAAGGAAAAAATCATTATGACTGCCTTTTTTTCCTGGTTAATAATTTTGTTTGTAAGAAACTAGGTTTTAGCCCTGAACTAATGTCTAATTATGAGTTGAGTACATAGACTTTTTTGTTTAAAAAAAAAAGTAGAAAAATAAAATAGTTTCCTTTTATTTTTTTCAAGGACAAAAAAATTCCAAAGTTTGATAATGTTCACTCATCAAGGGAACTAAGTGTCACTGGATTCGTAGTTAAACTGCTTTCATACATTGAAACAGGAGATTCACGATCAAATGATAATTATTGATAGAGTATAGCACTAGCTACAACGTGCACTTATCCATGGCAAGAGTTTATGTACTTGTAGTTTATTTTTCTTGTCTTTTTTTTTTTTAATGCCTGGTGTTTCTCAATGGCAATCGTGAGAATGTATGTGTACCCTTCAATGGAATTAATGTGTTGCAGTATTCAAAGCTAGACTTCCCAAAAGGGAAATGAATTTTTGAGGGTGAAATTGCACCTTTCCCTGCACCAAATTTGGCTCTTATAAAGATGCAATTTCCGTCCAAATGTCATATTTTCTTTTTGGTGCTTTTATAATATTTTATTGGTAGCTAAGGAAGCCAATTTTCTGTCTGATTTTCTTGGAAAACAGGCAAGTTGCCAGTGGAATCTTCCTCTATCGATATTGTAATTTTAATCTGGCAATCTCTTGACTGCCCTCCTGATCAACTGGTTCAAGAAACACTGAGAGTATTAAAAGTAGGAGGGTCAACTTTTATTCGCAAGCCTTCTCAGTCTGCTTCGGGTTCAGTTGACAAGGTAATAATCAGGTTCATTGTGCCTGGGAAGAATTATATTATTAATTGTGGATGGCAAAACTCCTGGGTTTGAATTGGATATTTTGACGGTTAATTCAAAATTGAGAATGTTTTTGCAACTTATTACATGACTAATGGCATAAGAATAGTGTATCTGGTTATGGATTTTGTACTTTCTATTGATATTGATTTTAAATCTTTTGCATTAAAATGATATATTTTGTGCTCATAGAGTTTGCCCTAAAAAGAGGATGAGAGTGGATTAAATAACAAAGTGATGGGGCGTAAGTTAATTGTGAATCATGGGTTGGCCTATGTAAACCGTGCTTTTATGATGTGTAATGTCCCAATTCATTTATTTGTTAATCTAAAGTGTTGGGTATTGAGAGAGGAGAGCAATAGTTCTTAATCGGTATATATTACTGAAGCAGTAAGTACATTATATAACTTGTTTAAGATACCTAAATCTAGGGTAAATGACTAAATCAAAGAGATCTATCCTAATCTATCTGATAAATCTAATCAGACTGATAAACTGAATACAAAGAATGGAATTAATAAATAAATAAAACACAGCTTATTGGGCTTGGGCTTTGTCTTCCAACACTCCCCCTCAAGTTGGTGAATAGGTGTCAATCATTCCTAGCTTGCTCCTTAGTCCTTCAAATGAGTCTCTAGGCAATGGTTTAGTAAACAAATCTGCCACTTGATTTTTGGTTCGGATGTAAGATAAGTCAATGAGACCACCTTCAATCTTTTCTCTTATGAAGTGTCTGTCAATTTCAACATGCTTTGTCCTGTCATGATGCACAGGATTTAGGGCCATTTCCATGGCTGATTTACTATCACACCAAAGTTTTATTGGCCCAGTATGCATTAGTCTAAGTTCTTTTAGAACTCTAACTATCCAGATTCCTTCGCAGACCCCAAGGGCTAGTGCCCTTAGTTCTGCTTCGGCACTGCTTCTGGAAACCACTGGTTGCTTCTTACTTCTCCAGGTAACCAGATTTCCCCATAAGTAAGTGATGTGGATTGGACCTCCTATCTAGCAAGGACCGCCCATGATCTGCATCTGTGTAAATCTCTATTCCTCTAGCTTCTCCTTTCCGGAAGAATAACCCCTTTCCTGGATTCTTCTTCAAATATTTCAGAATTCTATATACCGCTTCCATATGTTGCTCTTGCGGTTGATTCATAAACTGACTTACAACTCCCACGGCGTAGCTTATATCTAGTCTTGTATGAGCCAAATAGATGAGTTTTCCTACCAATCGTTTGTATCTTCTGGTGTTAACCGGTATCCCATCCTTCTTGTATTCTAAATTGCAGTCAGTTTCCATGGGGGTTTCTGCAGGTTTGGCTCCAAGCATACCGGTTTCTTGCAACAAATCCAACGTATATTTTCTCTGAGAGACATTTATTCCTTGTTTGGTTCTACTAATTTCCATCCCAAGGAAATACCTCATCTGTCCCAGATCTTTCATCTCGAACTCAGCTGCCAATGATCTCTTTAACCTTCTTACGGCCCCTTCATCATTTCCTGTAATCACAATATCGTCTACATACACTATCAGGATGGTTATTTGATCACCAACATGCTTTATGAAGAGTGTGTGATCTGAGTGCCCTTGTGAGTATCCCATTTTTTTCATGGTCATCGAGAATCTTCCAAACCAAGCTCTAGGGGATTGTTTCAATCCATACAATGATTTCTGGAGTTTACAAACCTTTGAGCAATTTGTTGAATTCTTCAAGCCAGCAGGTATCTCCATATATACTTCCTCCTTAAGATCCCCATTTAGAAAAGCATTTTTCACATCTAGCTGATAAAGTGGCCAGTCTAGATTGGCTGCTACTGATAAAAGAACCTTAATGGTGTTAAGCTTAGCTACCGGAGCAAAGGTTTCTTGATAGTCAACCCCATATGTTTGTGTATATCCTCGAGCTACAAGTCTTGCTTTATATTTGTTTATGCTTCCATCTGGATTGTACTTGATTGTGAAAACCCACCGACACCCCACGGTCTTCTTTCCTGCGGGTAAATCAGTAATTTCCCATGTTTCATTATGTTTCAATGCTTCCAACTCTTCATCGATAGCCTGTTTCCAATTAGAGTTACCAATAGCCTCTTGAAACATCTTAGGTACTCTCTCACTGGATAAGTTTGCTACAAATGTCTGCATTCTAGAAGATATTTTATCATAGGAAACAAATTTACTGATGGGATGCTAAGTACAGGATCTTATCCCTTTTCTGAGAGCAATTGGCCACCCAAGTTCTTCAGGATTTAACATTGAATTGGAGATTTGGTTATGCCTCGGAATGTGAGAGACTCTATTATTTTGCTGCTCTTCTGCGAGTTGTTCTTCTTCATCATCCATCCCTGTATTCACCTCAACACTATTTTCCAGATGGCTGTGATTTTGTTGAGTAGAGGAAGCTTGTGGGTTTGGTTCTTCAGGTTCGGGTTGAATAGAGGAAGCTAGGTTTTCAGAAGCTTGTGGGTTTGGTTCAGGGATGTCTAGGATTGTTTGAGCAGGGACATTCAAGGTTAGCCATTCTTCAGTGTCATAATTCTCCCCCTGAATGGGTAACTTGGGATAGTATGCATCTTCTTAGGAAAATACGGCATCCTTAGTAACATAAACTCTTCTGGTTGTGGGACAATAACACTTATAACCTTTCTGGGTAGGAGAATACCCAAGAAAGATACATTTTAAAGCTCTTGGTTCAAGTTTGTTGCTATCATCTTGATGTATATACACTACACATCCAAATACTTTCAAGGGAATGTCTGAGACTAGGGGTGAATCTGGGTAGGTTTCAAGAAGTTTTTGAATGGGGGTTTGATAGTTGAGTACTTTTGTGGGCGTTCTATTGATTAGGTAGGCTGATGTGAGAATAGCTTCTCCCCAAAATAGGTTTGGAACATTCCTGGCAATCATAATGGCTTGGGTGACTTCTAGGAGATGTCGGTTTTTCCGTTCAGCTACCCCATTTTGTTGCGGGGTGTATGCACACGAGGTTTGGTGGTGGATTCCTTGCTGGTCAAGAAATTCCTTTAAGGTTGTGCTGAGATACTCTCTTGCATTGTCACTTAATATCTTGATTGTCCCTTGGAATTGAGTTTTCACAAATGTGTGGAAACTTCTAAAAATGTTAAAAATTTCCGATCTTTCTTTCATCAAGTATACTCAGGTTACTCGAGTATGGTCATCAATAAAGGTCACAAACCACCTAGCGTTAGAGGTTGATTTAACTCTTGCAGGTTCCCAAATATCACTATGTATTAAGGTAAAGGGTGCGGTTGGTTTGTAAGGTTGTTTGGGATAGGAAGTTCTAGTTTGTTTTGCAAACTGGCAAGTTTCACAAAGAAAAGGAACTGAACTTTTATTTAATAAATCTGGAAATAAGTGTTTCATATAGTCAACACTGGGATGGCCTATCCTAGAGTGCCATAATAATACATCCTTATTTGAAGAATTTGAACTAAAAAAAGCCTTGCCCACATGTTTATTGGTGATCCTTGAGCCTTCAAGATAATAGAGTCCGTCCCATTCTTTAGCAATGCCAATCCTCCTCCTCGTTGTCAAATCCTGAAAAACACACCCGGTATCATCAAAAAACACTCGACAGTGATGATTTTTAGTTATTTTACTCACTGATAGCAAATTACATGCAAGTGCTGGGACAAATAAAACATTTTGTAATTCTAAGTTATCAGAAATCTTGACAGTTCCAACACCACAAACTTTGGAGAAGATTCCATTAGCAACTTTCACTTTAAGATTCTCATCACGGCAATACTTTATAATTCTGAACAAAGCTTTATTACCCGTCATATGATCTGTAGCTCCCGAGTCAACAATCCAAGTATTATCACTGGTTGCCAAGGCATTTAGGGCTATAATAGAATTACCTGACTTCACCAGATTTGCTTTAGGGGTAGAGGTAGAGTTATTATGCTTCTCAAGAATTCGTCTGAGTACTTGTAGTTCTTCTCGGCTAAGAGTTTCTCCATTCTCCTCATTCTCGTTGGTCACCACAGCATACCCCCTATTCTCCGGTCTTCGTTTTTGTTTCAGATTTGCTGGTTTGCCGTGTAATTTCCAGCATATATCCCTAGTATGACCATTTTTGTTGCAATGGTCACACCATCCTTTGGAGTTCTTCTTTCCTCTCTGATCTGATCCATTGTTACCATGTACTGCTAACGCTGAACACTTAGAGGGTGCAGATACACTCAGGGTGAGTCGTTTTCTGCTTTCTTCACATCTGACCATGTTGAAAGCTTCGAACAATGATGGCAGTGGCTTCATTCCCATAATTCTTCCCCTTACGTCATCAAACATGTCAATGAGACCAAGTAAGAACTCATAGGTTCTTTCTTTTTCAACCAGTTCCCTATATAGTTGGGCATCACTGCTGCACTTCCATTCATGGACATCAAACATGTCCAACTGCTGCCACAAGCGTGTGAGAGCAGTATAATATTGTGTCACTGTCATGCTTCCTTGTTTCATCTCTCTCTGTGCCTTTTTTATTTGAAACAGAGCAGCAGTATTCTCCATAGCTGAGTATGTTCTTTTAGCAGCATCCCATATTTCCTTTGCCGTCTTAGCAAGCAGATAGCCTTCACTAATATCTACTGTCATGGAGTTACATAACCAGGTCATCACCAGATTATTTTCAGCAAACCAAATATCATACTTTGAGTCATCAGGACTTGGTTGTGGGGCCTCCCCAGTTATGTATTTTTCTTTTCTTCTGCCTCGTAAGTACATCAGGACACTTTGAGACCACTGTAAATAATTACTTCCAGTCAACTTGTGAGCGACCAACATCTGAGGAGTCTCGGTGGTCAATCCAGATTCTATTACCATTGAAGGAGAAGAACCCGTGCCCGATACAAAAGAACCCAATGTAGAAGAAAACGATGATGGTGCTGTACCTGCTGTAAACGCTGATGAAGGGCGCCTCATTGTGCCAAATAGAGGTGGAAATTCACCAGATTCCATCTCGTCGGGTTCACCAGGTAGCACGAATACGACCGTGCCTTTGTGTAACTCTGTCTCAGTTGGGTTCACGTCGGGTTCACCAGGTAGCACGAATATGACCGTGCCTTTGTTCAACTCGGTCTCAGTTGCTCACTCAAATGCGATCAAATTTCTCGGTTGGTGGCGTTCGCCAATTCAGACGCAGTCACTTGGTCTTCAATCGCTCAACCCAGACGAGCTCACTCGATCTTCAGACGCGATCACTGGGCACTGGGTCTTCAGTCGCTCGACCCAGTCATGCTCCCTTGGTCTTCGTCGCCAACTTCAAATGCTTTTGTCGTCGTCGGTCTTCCTGCGATCAGATTACCTGGTCCTAGTCGCGAATAAGGACGCGACTTTCACTCTTTCTTCGACTGGTCCTAGTCGCGAATAAGGACGTGACTTTCACTCTTTCTCCGACTGGTCCTAGCTGCGGTCAAAGCCGCGACTTTCACTCTCTCTCTCGGTCGCCGCTCTGATACCATGAGAGAGGAGAGCAATAGTTCTTAATCAGTATATATTACTGAAGCAGTAAGTACATTATATAACTTGTTTAAGATACCTAAATCTAGGGTAAATGACTAAATCAAAGAGATCTATCCTAATCTATCTGATAAATCTAATCAGACTGATAAACTGAATACAAAGAATGGAATTAATAAATAAATAAAACACAGCTTATTGGGCTTGGGCTTTGTCTTCCAACAGGTATGGTTCGGTTATATAAAAGCTGGGGTAAGTAAAATGGTTGTGGGTTATAAATTTATAATTTCGGCTTTTGGTTGTAAGTGATTTCAATTTCATCTCATCTTGCAGATGATGTCTGATCTTGAGCACAAGTTACTGTTGGCAGGGTTTTCAGAAACACAAATTTTAGAATTAAAATCAACCACCTCATCAGAAATCAAGCCTTCTGGGGTAAGTTTATTTTCTGCCATTTCATTTCTTTTTCTTCAATTTATTCAGTGTCCATTGCTCGTTTGCCCTTGCTTGTTTCTAATGCAAGAATAGGACGGAATAAAAATTTATTGCAGGTAATTTGAACTGTAGGTTGTAATAATACTTATTATGGCTTTAAAATATCTAACATACACTCAGACGTGAAACTCTTATTCTACCAAACTTATTTTTCCTACCTATGCAGCATGGAACTTACTATTCTAACAGTATAATTGTTTTGCATTGCACATAGATTAAAGCGAAAAAGCCTTCATGGAAAATTGGTTCTTCTTTTGCCCTAAAAAAGGCAGTGAAGACTCCACCCAAAGTGCAAATTGATGATGATACAGACCTTATAGATGAAGATAGTCTTTTGACTGAAGAGGATTTGAAGAAACCCCAATTGCCAACTGGTAAATAGTACTCCTCTAATTTCAGTTGCTGATTTATTGGTTTTCTTTTCTTGTATTTAGTAACATGCTCGTGCAATAGGTGATTGTGAAGTTGGAAGTACAAGAAAAGCATGCAAAAACTGCACTTGCGGAAGGGCTGAAGAAGAAGAGAAAGTATTGACGTTAGGATTGAGTGCAGAACAGATCAATAATCCTCAATCAGCTTGTGGCAGTGTATGTCTTTTTTCGGAAGTATTCTGTTTCAGCATATGTTACCTTCAATTGGGATTTAGGGCGTTTGTTTTCTGTGCTGTTAAAGCGACTTGCTGTGCTGTGGGGAAAAAGGCTAATTTTTAGTTCTCTGTTGTTTTGGAGTATGAGATGAATAAATTCAGTTTAGTGTGACTACTGATTTGATATTTTGACAATTCTCTGGTCACACAGCTTATTTAGTGCAGATGATCTACAGAAGCTTAGGATGGTTAGAATGAAGTGATTTTTGTTTTTTTAAATACGTGTGTCTGTGTGTGTGTGTGTGTTTTTTTTTGGGGGACGCAGTAACAATGATGGAATGCATGATTTACTGCCTTTAGTTCTTAATATAAAAACCAGATAACTAATTTGCAATATTAATAAAATTAGTTAAACCAGATAACTAATTTGCAATATTAATAAAATTAGTTAAGTTAGTTATTTATAATACTCCTCCGGTCCTTATTATAAGACCCAATTTGACTTTTTATTTGGTCCTAATTATAAGACCCAATCCATTTTCTCTCTTATATTTATGTATTTTTTTCCAAGATAATCCTTCTAATAATGATAGTTTTAGTCAATATATTTAATTAGCAAGGATATTTTAGGAATAACAACACTTATTTATTATAAATAACCAACTTAATTTACTTCCTTAATCTCATCAAATAAGTTAATTGGGTCTTATAATTAGGACCGGGGGAGTAAATAGGTGTTGTTTTTCTTAAAATATTTTTGTTAATCATGTGGATTGAAACAATTATTATAATTGCCATACAGATTATTGGGAGCCAAAATAGATAAATATGAGACAAAATAGATTAATACCTTGTATTTAGGACCAAGTTAAATCTTCATATTAATCTTTGCCTTCATGTTGTTACAAGCTATTATGCATGATTAGCTGATTTTTTGGTTTGTTTATTATGGGGGAATATACTATTTGGACTTGCAATTGATGGACAAACGCCATGATACGAAGTCTGGGAATAATTCATCCTTCATGTGTCACACTCAAATGGATGATCTTCCTGTGATTTTTTTTTTTTTCCCCAATGGTCAGCATTGCTCTCACAGTTGGCTCTTCACCTGCAGTGTGGTTTAGGGGATGCTTTCAGGTGCAGCACCTGCCCTTACAAGGGTCTTCCTCCATTCAAGTTGGGTGAAAAGGTACTCTTCTTGTAACTCCCTAGCCCTCTGAATTTAATGTGTCATTTTTTGGGTTGAGCATGGATCCTCTCCTATGAATTTTGGTAACTTCGTCTCAATCGGGAAGAAGGTTTTCACTAAGAAAAAAGAGGGAGTTAAAAAAAAAAAACTCACGGATCCTAATGTTCGAAGATCCGTTGTATCTTATTTCTTATTTCGCATCATGGGTTAATTTTATGCAGGTTACACTGACCGGTAACTTCCTTGCGGCTGACATATAATTGGTATTGGGGATATTTTTCGTTGCGGTGGGAGCATATAGTTACTGCCACTTGTGGTCGGGGGGAGGCCTATTAAGCGCTTTGTTTAGGCATAATCAGATTTTACCTGTTTACAGTTTGAACGTTGAGAGAGGTCTTAGTTGTTACCTCCGCATTGTACAGCTTCATTGCCGTTCTTGTCTCTTTATAACAACAATCTAGTATTTTCGTGGCCAATTTGCGTTTGAACCTTTCTGGTTGGATCGTGTGGCTTTAAATTCTATGAAATTCCATATAGGAGGAGTTCACTGTGACGCTGGCTCTCTATTCCTGATCTTGTGTTAATTTTGAAGCTGGCCTTGATGTGGGATATTTCATCCGACCAAGTCGGACTGGTTCCTTTGACCAAATGATAATAATCTGATGATTAATGATGTGTAAGAAAGAGGTGTTCTATGATATATTCAGATGAGGGACCTTAGTTTGTATTTAAGTTTATAACTCGGGTTTGTGATCATTTTTAAAGTGCACATGCTGGTGATAAAGAGGGTGCCTCACAAAAATTTCATGAATTTGTGTTCTTAATATTACGAATTACTATAGGTTGAATAAGTTGACTAATTTGAATAGATTAAGAAACTTAGTTAAATAAGTTATTTATAATAAATATGAGTTGTTTTTTTTTTAAAATATCTTTGTTAATAATATGTATCAATTAGAACTACTAGTTTAGAGAGTTTGACCAACAAGAGTTGATCTAATTGATAAGGAGTTGGTTCAGAATGACTTATAAAATTATGAGTTCAAATCTTACTATTGATATGAGGATTTAGTTGATGAGTAATTTATAAGTACTTTTGTAAGTGTTTTTTGAGTATGGAAGTATGCTTTAGCATTGAGATCAATTCATCTAAATTTTTTTTTTGGTAGAAAAAAGTTTATAAAATGTGTAACATGTATAATTATTACAAGAATTATCTTTAAAAATATATAAATATAAAAAAATAGATAAATATAAAAGATAAAGTTGAGTCGGGTCATATTTAGGATTAAATTAAATATTAAACTAGTTTTTATATTAAAGATTTAAGTTAGTATTTTTCAATTGAAACGTAACATTTTTTTTTTAATTTAAGATCTTGGCACCGATACATTGTAGAAGAAGATTGTCCATTTGTTCCTCTCAATTTTTTTGCAGGATTTTCAAGAATAAAGGTTTGTTTGCTTCGGTTTTCTGTTTTCTTATTCTCAAAATAATTTTGTGAAATTCTTTTAAAAATAAGTGGAGAATAAAAAAATGTTTAGATAATTATTTTAAAAAAATTACTTTTTTATTTTGGTAACAAAATTTTAGGTAGGGGTTCGGGTTTAACCCAAGCCAAGGGCAGAACACTTGAATAGTTCCTCTTAAGTGACATCAATGTTGGGCAGGAAGAATCTACATTATATCCTTAGACACTAACCTAGACATCTCTATTTTAAGATGCTTTTCCAAGCGCCGTGAAGAAAAATCAAACCCCCTCTTTTTTGGATGAGAAGGTGAGGTTCCTACCACTGAACTCATGAACAATGGTTAAAAAATTACATTTGAAACAAAACACATAAAAGTTATATTTGGGCCGGTATAGATACTTGGTTTGTGGTTAGTACTGGGTTGGAAGAGAAAAAAGGTTTCCCCAATTTTTTTGGGGGGGGGGGGGAAGGGAGATACTAAAAAAAGAAAATGTCTAAAATTTGTTTATTATCAAATAAGTTTTTTTTATTTTTTAAAATAAAAATTTGTTTTTAATAATAATAAAAAAAGCCCTAGCTGTTGATATCTTTTGCATCAGATCCATAATTTGCAGCTCAAAAATGTTCACGAACAGAATCAAAGAAGATACGCCATTTAAATTTTATTTCTCATCAAGTATGAACAATTGGTCTGCAATTAATATATATATATATATATATATATATATATATATATCTCCAAGAGGAGCCAATGGCCTTACAGATTTAGAGCTTTCCTGTAAGTAAAAAATCACATGTTCAATCCATTTGTAATTCCAAGTCATCAGCGTCTGCTGCTTTAACTGAGAAAATACTAGTGAAAGGCACATGAAGCCGTTGGACGAGGAGAGCTTGGTTTTTTTTTACCAGCAGGAGGAGGAGAACTTCTGGATCTTCTGAAAAAAATTGTTCATGTTGGTAAAGGTTCAGGTCTTTTTTGGGTCAAAGGTAAAGGTTGAAGTCTTGACGATCACTTTCAAAATTTGGACGGAGGACCAAATCAATTTGGAGATCTAGTCCAAATCCCTCCACTGGACAATAATTTACGAAAAAGCAGTATTATTTCTGCTCATTAAGATAAGAACTAATTTGATATCTATTTTAGTTTTAGATATAAAATCCAATTTATTTTGTTTATCATATTTATTCATTTTTTTTAAAATAGTCTTTATAGTAGTTGCATACACCACATGTTAAATGTTTTATCTAATAGTAATTTTAGCTAATACACATAATTAACAAGGGTATTTTAGAGAAGACAATATGTATTTATTATAAATAACTAACTTAACTAATTTTCTTAATTCATTCAAATTAGTCAACTAGTTTTTATATGACCTCCAGTCCTTAATATAAGATCTTGTTTGACTTTTATTTTGATCCTAAATATAAGATCCCAATCCAGTTTTTCTCTTATATTTATGCATTCTTTCTCTAGGCAGTCCTTCTAACAATGATAGTTCTAGCTAATACACTTGATTAGCAAGGATATTTTAGAAAAGACAACACATTTATTATAAATAACTAACTTAACATTTTTTTCTTAATTTCTTCAAATTAGTCAATTAGCTCGTATAATTAGGACTGGAGGTAGTATTAGATTAATGATCCCGTACAATATGCCGTATAAGCGTACGTGTCTCTTTTGCTAAACTTAATGATAAATCTAATTAAGAAAAAGATTGCAACGTATTCATTTTTTCAACGACGGTGATAAATGTATACGAGTGAGCACCCATTTGGTGTTACTGTTACTCGTGTTAGTATATTAGGGTGATGTTAACTAATTAATATATAGCTAGAGTATATGTTTGATTCTTTATGTTTATATTAATTTTTATTTTAGTTTCTTGATGAATTTATATAGTGCATTTTTTCCCCTTCAATCTTAATATCGTTATATTTTATCTAACGAAAAATAATGACTTATCAAACTTAAATGATGACTGTGCGATTAAACGCTGACAAAGCGTGCTTGCATTTTAATATTTTTAATATAATATTTTTATATTTTAAGTTATGTAAATGAAAAAACTTAAAGCGAAAAAACAACTCTATCTTTGTAGATGTTTTGTGAGCATTTAATTGCATATTATATCCATCACAGAAGTTTGATGAGTCAGCAAAGATTAACAATATGTTTGGTATGAGAAAAATGGAAGGACAGGAATGGAGAATTTTTTTTAATAAGTTTGGTTTAAAAAATAAGAGAAATAAAGTTTTAAAATTTTATTAAGATAAGAGATAAAATAAAACTATAATAAAAATGAATTAAAAGCTTTTATCCCAACTTTATTAATTTTTTTAAAATGAACCCATTAAAATTTTCTCCCTCTTCCCCTCCCGTAAATTTTGCTCATATCAAACGCATCCAGAAAGAGTAAGAAATAGTATGCTTTAAAAGACATTTAAGGGAGGTGTTTAATGTGATTGTGCCACAAGGTCACTGGTTATCTAGGATAATTATTTGAACTTTTTTTGCCAGAATTATTTGAACTTATATGCATTTAATTTCTATATGATTTTGTTATTTTTAATTTATTATACACAATACTTATATCAAGTTTTCTATATTCATTGCATCAAATATCAAATTCTTCAATCATACAATGTCATATGTCCTATTTTGGAAATATTATCATTTAATTATAAATTTACATGAAACAAAATAGGACACATGTTTATATATGATTAGAGAACTTGACATAATGAATATAAAAAACTTGACCTAAGATCTAAGTTTTTTTTCCTCCTTTTATTGGTATCTCATGAGTAAAAACCTTGGTAAATGAATCAGAGAGTCTTTTCAAAATTAAAAGATACATAACATAACCAACAAACTATTAATTATTATGGTAAGTGGTCTCATCCCAATAAGAAGAATAACACAAGTTTAAATATCAAAAATTACACTTGTTGTAAGTGTTTTAAACCTAACGCTCACGATTTAATAGCAATTAATTTTAAATCTAAAGTGATTTGAGAAAACTTCTGCTTTTACAGGGAAAAAAATGACGTAGTTACAATGATCCTAATGATTAATCATTGAATTTTTTTTTGGTAAAACAATTACTCATTGAATTTTATCTACATATGATTTTGTTTTTCCGGTATCTACTTTTTGCTTTACATTACCCTGCTCAAAAGTAAAAAAAAAATAAAAATCTATAAATATTTCATGAACAGATTAATATCGAATCAAAATCTTTCCTTAACTTTTTCTACCAAAAAAAAAAAAATCTTTCCTTAACTTTTATAGAACAAATATTTAAGACATGAATATTCTATGGATCCATAAATATATATTCCTTTAAAATAATTCAATATAAGATTTCCCTTAAAATAGGTACTAGAAGATTTTCGAATACTGTGTATTCTGCAGAGAATTTCCATGATATTATTGTGCAGAAAAATTCATTGACATCATTCTCTTTGAAGGGTATTTAATGCAAATTAATGAAAATGCTGGTACAATTGTTTCTACTATCAATTAAATCCCATTAATTTTGCTTTTTCCAATTATTTTTTTAGTCCTGACCGAATTATTCTTTATTTATCCTTTGTATTTTGGGACATAAAATTCTTTGCTTATTATTAGTATTTTTTTTTTTTGGAAAACGGTATGGCCCGTTTGATAGGTATCCATTTGAGCTGGCTTTTCCTTACAAACCGTCAAAGATCTATTCCACTAATTAACTCTATTATTATACGGTTGATTATCAAAGATTTCTTCCGCTTTTATTGTTTTAATTTTTTGATTCTACGAATAGTTGATTAGTTTTGAGGGTACATTGATTATGATTGATAATTCAAATTAATCTAAAATACTCATATAGTTCATACTATAAGTCTTTTTAGACAATTTCATGTGATTAGAAATCAGAAACCAGAAATATTACTTAAAAATAGTTATAACATTAAATATGTGTACAATTGGTAATTCTTTTCAACTATCTCATTAATAAAATTTAAGGCTAAATTTTGCATTATTTTAAAAATTTCATATATATATATATTTCAGAAATAAAAAATTCTTTAGGGTGTATGCAGATTTGCACATTAACCCTAAAAGTTAATACTACATTAATTATAATAAATTAAAAAATTAATAGCTTATAAAATTTAAATAAAACACATATGGTATTAAATATTTTAGACATTATCAAAAT